ACCAAACGGAAGTATAGGCGCTGACTGCTTATTAAAGGTTAAAAGAGAATATCAGGACAAGAAGGAAACAGTGAAAAGGAGGAAAAGGATATTAAAATAGGTAAGGGGTATAAAGAAATATTTGTTATAGGTAAGAAATGTTTCGGTCCATTAAGTCGTATACATTTCTTACCATTACCACAATTGTACCTCGCGTTAGTACGACGATTGTGGTAACAAAATAATTTAGTAAGGCATATAAATTAAGATAAAAAGACGTTTAAGAAATCAAAATAATAGTAGGAAAAAAAGGAAAATATATGGGAAAAAAGGAAAATATAAAAGTATGTAAGGAAAAGAAAAGTAAAGGAAAAAGCGGGTCTGTGTCCTTTAATGTGTTCTGGTGACGGTGTTTGATTACTTGGCACTGGTAGCTGCTCGAATACTTTCACTATTATTTACTATGGCGCATCTTGTAGCTGACAGCTTTTCGTGGCTACTGTGAGTGGAATTACTTCACCCTTAGTGTTCAGATAACTGTTAGTTTCCTTCTATTTGAGAGAGAAAAGCAGCGATAGATTTATCATCTTTATCACTTCTGTGACTTATCCTTTCCACTACTAAAGGCGCCTTCCTTGTGCTCCTCCTTAACGGCTATTATTATCTGCTGATTGAGATTTTGGAGAGTCTCGAACTCCGTCAGAAGGGAACGGGAAAACACTTTTTCACTTCTCAGATTGCCCTGCTGATCGGTTTGAGGAAGCGGTGTTAGGGTTATGCCGTTGTTCTTGGTTCATTTGTTGTTGAGTTGCATGTCTTCGGTGCGTATGCTCTGTCTGGTTAATATATGTACGTCATCTCTTCGGCGATTGCCTGAAAGGTTGCTTGCTTTTCTGCAGATATTTTGCGGTATTCGTTGATTAACAGGTAGCATGACCCCTTCTCAAGTAGCCTAAATGATATTCTAAAAAAAATTTTTTTTTTGGTTTGATTCTGAGTGTACGGCTGAGAGGCTGAATTTTACTTGCTTTTTTCATTTTAGGGGAGTACAATGAGACGCAGATTTTTCTTGCAAAATTGGCTCATTGGGAAGACGAAGAGATTGCAGAGAGTTTAAAACAACGGGTAGAATTCAGGTCAGTTGCAATGGAATTTCGCTGCAATTAATGAACACGATTCGAGATGCCCGAACTGTTCTACCGCTTTAACTGAACGATCCAGTGGTGTAGTAGCGTACGATGTTATCCCTGATACTGTGGGAAAGAAAGCCAGCATTTCGAGGCTTCGACTTTTGCTCAGAAATTGGCTTTAATAAATGGGGGCTGTACTAATGATTCCCGCCTCTATTCACATCTTGTGCAGCTTGGAGATGAAACGCTGGCAGGCTTTTTGTACATACAGCTCTTCACATGACTTTTAAATTCCACGTTGACTTATTTCAAAAAATATCACAACAATTTTAACCCTTTTTACTTTCTTTCATTACCACCACAGACCTTGGACGATTACCGCCCCACCACGTCGCTTTCCCATTTCAGGCACGAATTTTGGCGCCCATCCGGATAATACCCTTAGCTACGGGGCCGCTTTTCTGGCCCCTTCTTTTCCTCAAAGGGCCCTTTAGACCCTTATTGCCTTTTCGTAGTGATTTAATACTGTGTTATTCACAACCTGTTCAACATGCGTTTGAGCATACCGCCTTCATCCGGCTTGGGAAAGCAGCTTCCTGCTAAATGCCTGCATCAACTAGTATGACCATTGCCCTCAGTTGATTAAAACAGCGTGGTGGGGCACTGTTCTGTGTGTGATGTTTCCGGACTCCAGGCCTTTCTAGTAAAACTTCTCGAACAGTTTTAAGCAGAAAATGGACTGTGACTGAACTGGAGCCTTGTATATCTCCCGAAATCTGATGAATGGTATTTTAAGTAGCTATTTTTAACAATATTTTTGACGATGAACTTTACCGTAATTTATGTTTTAGTGATTAGACAGCGGAAAAGACCTGAGTTTGAAGCGGTAGACGTATTCTTCCCAATTTTATGAAGTGCAGTTCTCAGTGCGTGTCCTTCCCTTCCTCTCTCCCTCCATACGTCAGATTCTATTGAGTGAGGGAATAAGGAAAAAAATTCAAGCGCAGGATAAGTCGAAGCGGAAGATTTGAAAAATCTGGTGTGCAGATGTATCAGCTGTAATGTGTGAAAGCATTTTGAGACTTATTTCCAAACGAGTTTGATATAAAGAAGTTATTCAAAAATTGAAATTTGAAAAATGTGTTGCAGTCGACGAGCAATATCGAAATTAGTGCAAGTGTTTGACCATATCACACAGAGGAATGCCAAAATTGCGGAGTTGGTTGCATCATGCCCAGCGTCGCAGGAAGCTTCTACCAATGATGGTAAGAATCAAACCGACATTTTTATAGAATTTTTATCTATTATAATTTGACAGAATCGTTGCGTGTGAGTGATTTTTTACAAAAATTCTGCCCTCGAAGGCCTTCGACGTTGTGGCATAGGAACGATTAAACAGTGTAGCTACATTTGGCGTATGAACGCGACTTAAAGTGTTTTGCGTAGGAGGTGGGAGGTCTCTGTGACTTCTTTTGTTCTATGCAACAGCTGCACAAAACGCATATTGTTACGGCGTTGTCTGTGTGTGTTTGTCTGCAGCAACTTGTCCGCAACTTTCAACTCTGGAACCACGAAAGCTAGGAAGCTGAAAATTTGGGGGGACGTCCCCCGCAAGTTTAAATTTAACCTTCCTCTGCTGGCGCGTAACACGAATGGTCTCGTGATAGTATTGGCGGGCAAATTGTCTCGGGATCTAGGAAGCTGAAATTTTAGGGTGATGAGTCGCTGCCCACATACGACCTCGCAATTTCAAATTCAGCGTTCCCACTCTCTTGAGTATCATCTTCGTCTTCATGAAAATTTTGGCGGAAAAGTTATTATCTCGGGAACATAAAGAGGCTGCAATTTTGCAGTAGTTTGCTCTACCCACATGCAGTCCCGCAAATTTGAATTCAGCCTTTCCGTGCCTAGACACTTACGGCCATGTGAAAGTCACGGCGAGGAAAATTATTATCTTGGGAATCATGAAAGTTGGGAATCTGAAATTTTAGAGCGATCCCCCTATAAGTGTAAAAATTTTGATTCAGCTTTCGCGCACTCTTGGGTATCACATATGGCTCCACGCAAGTTTTGATAGGAAAATTGTCTCGTGAACTGCAAAAACAAGGAAGCTAAATTTTTAGCGAGTCATCCCCTGTCTACGTACGATTCCGAGGATTTTCAACGTTCCCGTGAGATTTTTGGCGGGAAAATGATTTCGGGGGTCAAAAGAGTTAGGTG